ACCTGGACAGGCTGGWGAGTTGGGCAGAGAGGAACYTCATGAGGTTCAATAAGGACAAGTGCAGGGTCCTGCACCTRGGGAGGAATAACCCCAGGCAYCAGGACAGGTTAGGGGTCGACCTGCTGGAAAGCACCTCCACRRAGAGGGACCTGGGAGTCCTGGTTGACACTAAGTTAACCATGAGYSAGCAGTGTGCCCTCGTGGCYAAGAAGGCCAMTGGGATCCTGGCCTGCATCAGGAGGAGTGTTGCCAGCAGGTCAAGGGAGGTGATTCTGCCCCTCTCCTCAGCTCTGGTGAGGCTGCACCTGGAGTACTGTGTTCAGTTCTGGGCACCCCAGTATACGAGGGACATGGAGCTTCTGGAGAGGGTCCAGAGAAGGGCAACCAGGATGATTAAGGGAATGGAACATCTCTCGTATGAAGAGAGGCTGAGTGAGCTGGGCCTGTTTTCTCTGGAGAAGAGACGGCTCAGAGGGGATATGATTAATATGTATAAGTTCAGGAAGGGAGAATGCAGGGAGGAAGGGGACAAGCTGTTCTCACTGGTGGCCAGCGATAGGATGAGAGGTAATGGCCACAAGCTGAAGCATAAGAAGCTCCGTCTCCAGGTGAGGAGCAACTTCTTTACTGTTAGGGTGACAGAGCAGTGGAACAGGCTGCCCAGGGAGGTTGTGGAGTCTCCTACTCTGGAGGTCTTCAAAACCCGCCTGGATGCCACCCTGTGCCACATGCTGTAGGTGTGCCTGCTTGAGCAGGAAGGTTGGACTAGATGATCTGTAGAGGTCCCTTCCAACCTTAAATATTCTGTGAATCTGTGATATCCATGAAGAGATAAGAAAGGATCCTGATGAGTCAGAATGATGCTTTAAAGGGGTTCTCTAAAGTATCAACTTTAAAGTCAACTGAAAAAGATCCCAGAGATTGCAAATGCCTACAGAGTAACATTAAAATACTTACTGGGGGATATCCGCCTAATTCAAATGGGGAGAATGAAAGAGAAAGTACTTCTGTGTCTTARACAGCAGCTCTTTAGGTCCTGAGGCATATGATCCTGCACTCAGAATTCCTCACACTAAACTCACCACAGAGTGTAGTATTTTCAGACAGAAAAGGAGACCTGGTTTCTACTCTTGGCCAATATCCAGCAGCTGCAGAATTGAGTCTGAATGCTTGAGATCAAAAGTGGACTGCTTTTCCATGAGAATTTGAACCAGCTTTGGAAGAAGATGCATTAAACAGGCTGTAGGTTATTCAGTAGAATGGCTTGTAAATAAAAGAYTCTTTGGCTTCAGTCTTTATATTAATGGACGCATTTGTATTTTATAAACAGACATGGGAACATGAACCAGATTCTGAATTTATATTTTTTGCCATTTACCACACGTACCACCTGTGAGCATCACCCACCCCTGCTTCCTTCTTTTCTCCCCCGCCCTTACATCTGTCAAGCAAATGACCAAGAATCTCTCCTCCTGAGTGGTTTTCTCATGTTTACGACAACACTCATTAGTCTGGTGCTCAGCACACATGTTGCAGAGATCTGAACTTTAGTCGAGAACAAAACAGCATCACATTTTCTGCTTGTTTGGATACTGGGCAAACTAGAAAGTTAACCTGGAAGACATAACTATCTTTCCCATAAGACGTGGGGATAGATTCAGTATTAAAAATTACAAGAGGCTTAATTGCAAAGCGCTGCTTTGTCCATAAAATCTGTAAATACAGTTTCTGAATATGTTTATGGATGAGGATTTAGAACTTAGAAATTTGGAAGTTTTAAGATCTTCCAAAATCAGACAGTGGGTTTTGGAATCAAATAATGGATTTTAAAGATTAGAAGAAAATTGTAATCAACATATGTTGTACCTGCAAGCATTCTATATACCCTTACTCAAATCTGCACCTTAACTTCCAAAAATGCTGGACTAACTGGTAGACCTTTCATCTTAATTTCTTATTATAAAAAGCAATGTCAAAAGCATTCTAATTGAAATACTGTTAGAAGTCGCATGTGCTCACTGCATTACGAGATTTTGCTAAGGTAACCCTTGTCTGAACACTAGAACAAAACATCACTAAGGTGGCCAGACAAAACTAAAGCTCTGTCRTTGTTTTTTCTTCCCTACACTAAGAGGGGAAAACTTGCTGCTTTGATGACCTCTGTYTTTAATGTGGATCAGGCTTAAAGACCTATCCTTAATGCTATCTAAAACCTGAAGCCCAGCTTGGATAAATCCAATAGTGTTTAACATATTCACTTGACATGAAGTCTATACACACAGATATTCAAAGTACAAAATTCAAATATGTACAGAATATTATCTTTATGAAATGAAAGTATCAGATAAAAATCTAATCTTAAAATGAAACTTCAGAAAAACTGCTGCAATTTAGAAAAAGCTTCAAAGGTTTAAAGCAGGTGGAGGAGAGTATCAAGAGGCAGAAAACCTCAGCAAGACATTAATTTAAACTGAAATCTTAAGTGCTCACTTTTGTTTGACTGAATATTGGTCAAGCAATATGCACTGTAGAGAAAAGTGCTACTAAATTTTCTGCTTCTTGCAGGAAAATATTCTCTTATAATTAAAAAAATCTCATACTATGTGTAAATGTTTAAACACATCTAGGGACTGCGTAATATGTTTTCCCCTTATCYAAGTATTATAAAAATAAGCTTTCTCCAGACTTGAGCAGTCATGAGTAGAAGTAGAATCAGCAGATAAAAAWGAAAATCAGGAATTTTAAACACACAACACAGAAGAATAAGTTATTCTAAAGTAGGCCTCACACAGAACTACTTTTTTTCCTCTTATCTGAACTGATCCTACAGCTATTAAAAACAACATTCACAAAAAAATGCTAACTGTGGTTCTGTGATTTTGAAAAGGTTGCCATGAGACTAGTAGCAAAATGAGATCTCACACAGAATAGCTCCTGTGGCTAAAGGATTTACATATGCAAGACTAGCAATAGAGTGGGAAAACAAGGCATGCTGATACTCTGATTTGCTGAATAACTTCAGGAGCGGAGGACATGACATCCCATCCAGGTCAGTGTTACATATATGTGAGAAAGCTATGGAAAGCCATGGAATGACTATGGTTGTCCATCACCATAGACCTTTCTGTAAAAAGTAAGTTTTGGACAAGTCTCCCATAGCTTCCAAACACTGRACAGCAAAGATCAACCAGTTCTGTTTATCCTGCACCCAAGTCTGTAAGTCTCTAAAATCAATTGAATATGGCTCTTCAGCTGTTGCACAATCTTCCTTGAATGAGTCACTGTTCCCAAGTTTAACCCTTCTAATTTTTCAGATTTTTGAAGAAAAACAAAACAGGTTGTTGATCATATGTTTTAAAGATCACTTCCTAAGCTCTAGAAAAAATAAGAGGAAGCAGATTGAGATGGGCTACATTATTCTTAGATATTAAGCATTAACTGGTCTGGCATACTTGGGACTAAAGAATATTACCAAGAAGAGTAAAAGAAGGAGTAAAAGAGAAGGAGTAAAAGAAAAATAAGTATGTTTACATTATTTTGACATCCTCATTTGCTGTCATAAAGCATACTAAAGTCTATGCCACAGAGGAAAAGGGAAAGAACTTCATGCCCTGAAACCTCTGCTGCAGATATTTACAGAATTACAGGAGCAAAAAAATTGAAGGTTTCTATCCAGATATAGTTGTGACCTTACTTGCTTCCTTCTGATACTGCATTTGTTTTATAGAGTACGAGCAAAGCATTGTAAGCCTAAGGCAACAAAAAGCTGCATGAATCCTTAAAGAATTTCTAATCTTTGGTGGAAAAGTTCTAGCAGTTGCTCCATAAACTTKCTGGATATGCCTGTCTGCATTTCTGAAACCATATGCTATAAAATAATCATGATCTTCACAAACTCATTAATGGGCTCATTCTATAGACATTTCTCAAATTGTGGCATTACCTTGTTCAAATATTCTGGTTTGGAAATCTGTGCTTAACACACACTGCTAAACACCTCTTAGGAAAGAGTAGACAAACATTACTGATGACTCTTACCACATTATCATAACTCGTAAGATATATGAATATGGCATTTTGATAATGTGCAATGGGGCATCTGGGAGAAATAACATGCATTCTATTTAACACTGGACATACCATACACTAGTGCTTCCTGTTCTAGCAAACTTCATTGTAACAAAGCTCCACTTAAGAGTTTCAGAAAACAAGGTAATCTTAAAAATAATTCAGCTGGCACTACTGTATCAATTAGTTTTAAATCTATCTACCCCACTTTAAGTTATGTAGTTCAGTACAATTTTCTAATAATTCTCTCTGAGGTTAAGACTTTACGATTTTATCAGCTATGCACTCTCACCATGCCATAAACCTCTATATACCTGCAATCTATAGCATGCATATAATCCAAAATCATTACAACAAGTTTATTTTCTACCACATTGCCATTTCTGTACATTGTAGGCATTTAAAATTAGGTCCTGAGAAGCCTCATGGAAGTCAAATGCTTTGAGAGTATTACACAATAACCACCTAATTGCAATGCCCACCTCAAGATAAGACTTATTGAGAGATAATTATATGATTGTTAAAGCTTTAGAAACACACTCTGAAAGTTTGATTAAAAAAGATTAAATTGTTGAAGTGTTATTGACCATAAATATGATGCTTGAAAGAATATAGTTTTCCCCGCTATAATTAAGAACTGAAAGTTTACTTTTGTAAAGCAAAAACCTAGTGTAGTACATTCGGAGGTACACAATTATTTTGGTTAGTGCAGTGCAAATGTCTTTGTATGTTAGCACATACAAACTTAATTTTTAATAACACTAAATAGTTCAAGTCTGAAGACGTGTTAAGAGATAACCACGTTCTCTGTAGGTTCAAGACAAGACTTAACACACTAAGCAGATGCTACCAAAAATCTRAAGTGGTAGTTGGGATCATCCCTTCAAAAATCGGTTAAGTTTGGTATGCCAGTATCTAAGAGCTCAACTTACGTATTCGCCGTAGGTCTCCTGCGCGGGAGGCGGTGGAAGGGGCCGATATCCTGCAGGTGGAGGAACTCCTCTTGTGCGGGTGGCCAGCAGCCCACGGCTGCGACTAACTGGTCCTCTACTGGGTGGCACTCCTCTCGGTGCTGGTGCCCCTCTGGGGACTCCTGCTGGTGGCGGAGGGACTCCCCCACGTCCCCTGCAAAGGAATGGATTAATTACACTTAGATATCACTCTCTTGATCTCCCTTTCAAGAGATCCCTCCCCCACATCACAAGATTTTGCTTCACTACAACCAGACAAAAACTCTGCGAAACTGTTACAGTTTGAGATTTGTCTGTACACTTTAATACAATTATACTGCATTATGTAATAAATACTGAGAGATACAAATTAGGCATATATGACTTTTAGCAGTGAAGTTATTAGCTTGAACCATTCTTTTTGCTAATTGCATAGACAGAGAAAGCCGAGCTAATTTGCTGYGGTAAGTCGGCTTCACTACAGCTTAATTTATAGTATGCAAATTCCCAATCAAAGATTATCAGGTTAATTTGAAGCTGTCAGGCTTCAATTTGCACTCATATTCTGCACAGAGGAATCAGCTGCATCTCCCTTCTGATCCCATGTAGGTTCTGAATGCAATCCAAAGATCACTTTGCATGCAAAAGACCAAGCGGGTCAGAACATATATATATTTCTTATTCTAAAGAAGAGAGAAGACTTCCACCTGCGCAGCTGTACTGTTGCAAGAAATATTCAAAGATGCATAATATGTACAGGGCGATTACAGGATTTGATGATCTATGTGCACTTAATGACAAGAAATAACAGTACCATATAGGCTTATATATTTATACAAGCATACATTCATTTTTAAGTCCTGAAGGAGTGTTAAGGACTAAATTGCTTTCTATTACTTTGGATACTTCACATAAGATCTGAAACTTCAAGTGTAGTAATTTTCAACAAGATTATCAATTTAAAAGTGAAGTCCCTTTTTATACCTTTTACACCTGCATCTGAGCTAGTCCCTTCACTATCTCCATAAAGTCCCAAGATGAGACCACAAGGCATAATCAGTGTGAAATTCTGATTACTTCTCTTTTAAACAGGCTGTTTAAAATATGACTAATTCTCCTCTTATAATCAATATTCATGGGAGAAATGATTTAAAGTGAGTTTAAATAGCTTATGTGTAGGCATATATACTTGTTCACATGAAACACCACCCTTAATGTCTACCCTAACAGTACAGAATTTGGAATACTCCTATTCTACCTACTCTCACCTATCAATCCGTTTTTCTATTTAATCTCAAGAGTATTAGAGTGAAAATATTTTGTCCTGATATCAGTACAAATTCCTGACTCAGACAACACTGTAAGGCCCAGACAAGCTCTTGAGATGGTCTCATTTCAAGTAAATCATACCATATCTCATCAGTTAAACTTAGAAAAACAAAATTATCATCTCACAACTAATTAGTATTTGAAAACCTTCATCAGGGGATGAAAAAAAAACAGAAATGCAAACCCTGACTGTATAATCAGGATAGGTCTAATTACTTCTAATAACTGATAAAAACAGTCACAGAGCAGAATATTTTAAACAAGCCTAGACAGTAAGCGATTAAAACTGTGCTTATTACTTGGTTTTGGCTAATCTGTAGAATGCCTCCTCAGCACAGGGTACCAGCTGCTTATTTGACTTCATTGTAGTGGGGGCAGGGGTGAGCAGTGAGCTTCCCAGACACAGCCTGCTGAAGCAATATAAAGAAATAGCAAATGTGACATTTTCCAAGTCAAAGAAAGGGAAAGGAACCTATTGGCACAGACAACTGTCAATACCACAAGTCAAAAAACAAAAATAACAAAATAACAAAATAACAAAATAAAAATCAGACTCAAGGTAGACTAAAAAGCACTAGATTATTTACTTCATGGTATTCTTCAGATAAGGGAAATTAGCAGGAAATGGGACATGCTGAATAATCATGGAAAAACATTTGAGGGAGGGAAAAAAGCAAGAACAGTTTTTATATCTAACATAGGTTTATTCGTGAAGAGCTATTACAATAAGAGATCCACCTGAGGGGAAGAGGGTATTTTTGCCTTTTGATAAAATCAGTTAATAGGGCTGGGGTGGTAACAGTGCAAACATCGTATTTCTCCTTTATTAGAAGACTACTTGCATAGTCTGCTTAGGAGATGCTGCAGCAAGAAGTGTAGTTCTGCATTACACCACTCAGTGGTTACTGCACCAGGCTGGAGACTACTAGAAAGGTGCAGGTGTTGAAAACCCTGTAACACAAGAGCTCAATTACTACCACACAGACTAAGTTAACATCAGGGTATGACGCTAAGACTCTAAATTGCTATTTTAGTAAGAAATTACCAGTGAAGTCAAGAAACATAATCCTGACATGAATAAGGAACAAACTGACTCCATGATGAAGAATCACTTGAATAGGAATCATTGTATGCACAGGTAAAACCAACAGATCAGTTACAATATTGCTTGACTGAAAAGAAAAGGATGTTAAAGATTTATAAGGGACAGCTAAAACAATAGGTATATAAGCAACATGGGAAGACATTGGAAAAGAATATAGAGTAAATACACAGCAATTGTCAAAAGATGACTCAAGACAGGGCAAAAAATCACTAAGACTTCAGAATACAGAAGAAAATCAGAACCACCTCTACACACAAAGGATTAAAGACTCTGATAAAGCAAATTTAAAATAGCCAGAAAAGCAGGTTAGAGACAGTTTGAAGAACAATTTGCAAAAATATGCAAGAAAAATGTCATAATATTTCTGTAAATACTCCGGAGTCAGGAAACCTGCCAGAGCCCAAGGCCAAATTACCCCCGAAGAATACCTGTGTAAACATGTATGTACATGTTGTCTTCCACACATATATTAAAGATATATGTGTCTATATACATATGCATATAAAACATCTATTTTTTTTTTTTTTGCTATACAATCATAGCTGGACAAGGTACTGGTGCTAGAGCCTTTCCTTATGGGCAACGCACTGGGCAGAGCATCCAGACAGGTTACTGAGCAAGAGTAGCCACTAAAAGCAACTATATATCACAGTGGAAGTGCCTAACTCTTCATCCCAGAACAAGCTCT